CGACAGTCGAATGCCTGCCTTTTTCTGGCAAACGTAGCGTCCCGGCGGGCCCGGAGATCACTTGCTAGTGGACGGCGCCTATCACGTTCATTGATAATGAAGAAGAATGTAGTTTTGTTACTCGGACTGGTCTCAAATTCATCCTGAACATCCCACCATGCACCGAACTCTGCAGAGTCCCTCGGACAGCACACACTGGTACACACCAGAGGAGACACACTCACCGAGCGAGGCAAGGAGGCCAGATGCACTACCACCCTGCTGAGATGGCCCCTAGGCCTGCTAACTACCACGGTGCGTCCAACAGCACCCATAACTGGCGATTGACCCCAAAGACTGGCAGGTTTGTTTGGGTTGACCGCCCTTGCGCCGGTTTGACTGCTGGTTACGTTGACCGCCACACTCAGCGGCTTGTGGTGTCGTGCGCCTACAGGCACGCCGTGCAGTACCCGAAGCCGCAGCCGGGGCGCGAGCGGCGCACGCACCGCTAATTTGAATGTTGGCCGTGCATGAACGGCGGCAGCTTCCTAAGGCCCGTGCAGCCGTTCGCCCTGCCTCGGCGCGCTGTGCGTTGCGTCGCAGGAAAGCGGTGGGGCGATCGCAGGACGCCAGAGTTGCAAGTTATCTGATGCATGCCCGGCGGGTGAACAGCTGCTGTTTTTTCACGTTCTCGGGGAGGTTGTTATTACATTACATATGGGGGCAATTGAGCTGTACCAAGCTGCAACTTCACTTGCACAGCACCCGCTTCGATTAGGGCGCGCATTGGGATGCGCATAAACAAATTCTATCTGCACGGCGGGCAGGGGGCTGATCTATGAATCGTTGCGCAACTGATTGGAAAGATGTCTCCCTCCAAACGGCGGGCCGTCGAATGGAAGGTCGGCGCCTTGGGAAGGGATGGCACGATCGGCCGCCTCGTTTGAATGTATGCATGTGCCACCAACTCCTTCATGCCGTGCAATCATTGGCAAAACGCGTGTAAAACGGCGCACGCACCCCTTGAAAATGCGTGCGCTGCTCCCCCCAGCTCACAGCGAACGGGCAACAGTGTTGATTGCTGTGGATGCGGCTGCCCAGCAACGCAGCCGGCTCGCCCGCAGCGCGACGTGGGAGGCGGGCACGCTTACACAGTTCCCCGCAGCCAAATTTGAGATGGCCAGAATCTGGTTGGGGGCGCTGGGGCGTGAAGCTGCCCGACCACCGGCCGCATGAACCCGGCGTGCTCTGGGGCTTTTGCAAATCTGAGGTCTACTTTTGTACGCAACAAACAGACATCTGTGTTTAGATGCGGGTTCAACTTCTTCACCGTGCGTTGGTGGCGCCGTCATCAACAGCCGTATGCGTGGAAGCCACAGCGGGGCTGCCGCGGGTCGACGCTCGTCGTTATGGAGCCACGTCGGCAATCGTCTGAGCTACTTGGACCTGACTGCGCCGCACTCTTGCATTATGATGAGCTTGACGCACTCGATGAAGTTTTCGCGCCACCAATCCGCCGCGCCAATTTTGGTCGCGTCCGGCTCATCCCCAGAAAGGCCGCTGCGCTGCCGATAGAAGGCCTCAATGTCCTCCTGGTTCAGTGGCCGCCCCAGCCACGGCGCGTTCGTCTCCGCGCTGACACCTGTGGGCCGCAGGCTCAGGACCCACTCCCGCGCGCGGCTGCCGCCGCCGTCGCCGCCGCCGCCGCCGGCCACGCCGCCCCCGGCCCCGCCCGCCGCGGGGCGCAGCTGCAGCCCTTTGGCCGTCATCTGCGCCGCCTCCTCTAGGGTCGCCCGCACCCGCGCCTCGGGCCGCTCCAATAGCTCCATCCGGGTCGAGCCCGCCTCCCCCCAGGCCGCGGAGCTGCGGCCGGTCATCAAGATGCTGAATCGTTGGCGGCCAACCCAGCATCCCACCTCTGGCCCCCCACCGTGGCTGTGACGTGCGCAATTGCCTCTGTGTCGTGCACTGGGTGCGCCTGCACGCACCGGCGGAAGCGTGCACGCGCGGATGGGTAGTAGTCAGGTTGCCGAGTCAAGAGCAAGGAGAGCGGCGGGCGCACGAATACGGCGGAGGCGCACGCACACAAGTGGCTTGGACAGCTCTAAGCGCCTGGGACAGGACCGTCAGCGCGGAGCGGGTCGGCTGAGACATGCAGGCGGCTGGCCTGGCGCAGCTGCATCCCGGGGCAGTGGGCGGGGCGGGCCACTGGCGGGCTATGGGCAGCCAGGAAGCGCAGAGTGCGCACGCAAGTAAGCATCTGATCAGCCACCCACTTCAAGGAGGTCTCGGGGCCGGTTCCAGTGGTACTCGTGCTGCAGCTGCACGGGGCCGTCGGGCGCCAGCCCCGCGCCCTGCAGCTGCAGCAGCAGCGCCGCCTCCGCCATCAGCACCGACGCGGGCAGGCAGCTGCCCCAGGCGCCGAGGTAAACCAAGTGAGCGACGGCGAGGCGCAGCGCGCCCGCAGCCAGCGGCGGCAGCGGCGTGGCGAGCGCGTCGGCCTCGAGGACCGCGGCCGCGA